TTCTCACCTTCTTTCCTCATCATGAGTCGAGATGAGCTCCCATCGAGCCGACTTCTCAGCCAAATAGACCTCCCCTTCCTCCCCGGACTTACCCCATACACAAACTAACATCTTCAATGTTTCCCCATTTGACGGCATACCCGATAGGACTGAATATAATTGTGCACTATAGCTATCATCGTTCCGATCTCCTCTAATACTCGAAAAAAACCACACATTTCAAATCCGCTGATGAAGAATTGGTCGGCAAAACCAAGAACGATTCTTGCACTTAACGTCACCACTTACGTCGACAGGCCATCTCAAGCTTCGCTCCGCCAAATACCAACTCCTTTCCTCCATCTTGCCTCTCCCTTTGAGTTCTACCCGCCGCTAGCATCATCAGCAGCCTACCCGTGTCACAAGCCAACCTTATCTCCACCCAACAATAGTCCCCATACCCAACACATGCTGTGCTCACCCCCTCCACCTAACATACCAAACAACTATCACCAACCTTTGATTCCGCAGTAGAACCTCCTCAATCACTCCTGAACTGATCACTGCGTGTGAAAATATCAGAGCGTAAACCGGGAAAATTTTATTACCACTATAGCGATCACCACCGAGGGCCCAGCTCCACCCAATACATCTCGTACGGAACATGGCAGAGCATTTGGACCGAGATCTGATTAGATAACCAATCAGCTAACCCACCAGACGTTTTCAGGACATAATCGCCGGAATTTTTCACCCCAGAGCCATCATTACCTTTCTGTCCATTGTGTTCCTGTGTCTCCATGACGCAATGAAAGTCTTGAGACTCTCGATCATGAGCAAGCAGCTCCTCCAAACGACGTACCTCCATCTCGAGGGTAGTCGTACGAGCTATCAAGTCCAATCGTTCAACCTCCAACCTAAGCCGAGACACCACCAGTCTCGTTAGAGTATCTACATCACCAACCTGCGCCGAATATTAAACCCAAACACAGTGTTGGCTTATCCCACTCAGTGGAGAACGGGCAGGTGTACCCACTGTGTGCATGCAAAAGAGATACATTCTCACTATTCACCACCGTGTGAATTTTCAGGCGATATAATCTACATCTAAACGCGCCTTAAAAGCCGTCAAGCGAACGACTGCCGGGACAAAATCATACATCTGCATCCTCATCATGAATCGGCATTGAAATTGATGATACTCTCCCCAACGTGCTACTCCTAAATTCCGCGGACACTAAAACTGGAAGAAAAATATCCGAATTTACATGCTCTCATTCGGGCCGATGGACGAGTTCGCCCCTTCATCACAGCTAACCCGACCCGAATGCTCACTTGAATTGGCAATGTTAAATAACAATGACGAGGGTTCGTACCCACAACCGCACAATGAGCAGACCGACATCGTAACCACTACACCACCCATAGACACCACCTCATGTACTGCCGTTCCATGTTGATCACCCGCCGCCTCTCAAATGCCAGTTCCGTTTTCAGTCTATCCAACTCCCAACCAGAGTCAGTCTGAATCGCCGCATCCGCCCCTTCCCGACAAGATATCGATGCCTATCCTGACAACAGCGTAGTCAATTCGAACTGTACCTCAAACCCGTGGAACTGAGATGATACCAACTACCCATCACAAAGAGATCTACCCTCGAGACTACCACTATCGAATTTATACCCAGCAATGTTGACTATGTATTTGTGGCAAGGACTCAGCATACAATCAACGTGAATAATGAATGGTCGCGGTTACACCATTCAAAGCAGTACCTGAGTAATTTTCTCTTCGATGTCAACCCTGTCAGTGTTAACTGCAGCATCCGATACGACAATTGTCAGCTCCCTTAGGCTGCATAACAACCGACTCTCATCACGCGAGGGACCCAACTCTACCCCAGGATGACCTGTATGGCAAATTCCCGTAGTAATCATTCTCCCCCTATAATTTAATACAGGTGCCGGTTCATTTCACAGCAAGCTTTGAAAATGTTGAAGTATTTGAGAATGCCCTTTCCAAAGGCAACCATGACGAACTACCTTGTAGCCTCTCCCTGAGAGTATCTTCATCATCCATGATAGTCCATACGATGCCTGCCTGGGTCAATGCTCGCCGTAGAGATGTAACACTGCTGCTTGATGAGGCCATTCAGGGAGCTCGAAACATTCACTAAGTTGTCGACTGGTATCCGTACAGCTCGCATGATAAAATGAATTATGGAAAAATGACATGCCTGGGATTCGAACCTGAGGTCACGTCGGGCGGACGTCGTCGGCCGCTCTAAAGCCCAATCAGAGATCCTGTAACGTGGGCGCGCGCGAGTTCAAGACACCTCAAAAAGCCCACCGGGCCGAACGTATGTAACTCTCGGGCCCAACGTATGTAGCCCGAAAAAGGGGCTACAATGTAGCCGCTACATACGACTCCTGCCGTTATTATCTCTTCGAGAAGGACCTGGTCGCTACGATGGGCTTGATATCTCAGCAGTAGATCGCTGCCTAATCCTCGGTGATCCACTATGTTCACGAGGGCCAGCGGACCATGGGAGATGTCCTGTCAAGGAGTTCTGCATCGTCGCTACTAGCCCAAGAACGCTCAGTAATATGTCTGGTTGTCCTACCTTAGGCGTGGACTGCAGCTTCAACATCGTTATGGCAAACTCGGCGATAGCTGTAGTCTGCGCCCTATCTCGGGGCCAAACAGCCTCGCCGATCGCCATCGCCCTCATCCATGCCGAATCAATCTCCTCTGTTGAACATTGTCTGCATAAGCTGAGAGAAGCAGGTCGCATTATGGAGCTGCCGAACTGCGAACCTGAAGAGGTGGTCATGGATGGATCGTCTAGTATCTACGGTGCTTGTATCTCGGTTTACGGCGGTTTCTCTGCCATCAGCTGCTACTTTCATGTGATGAAGCTTGCACGGGAGGCGAAGACCAAAGCCGATCTACCTAAAAGTTTATGGTTGGAGATGAAAAAGGATTTGGCCCTTCTCAATGATTCAGTATCCCGAACCAAATGGGAGAAGTTGGCAGAGCTACTTGTCAAGAAATGGAAAGAAGATAAGGGATAGGCTCTCAATGGATCTCAGATCATAGGCTTCCATTGACCTCAGCGTTGACGGGACATTTTCATCCTGTTGCCCTCTTCGGGGGCAGCAATACAGTGTGCTTGTCCGACATAGATCCTCATCCCTCATGTGTCCGAGTATTTTGATACCAATGGCGAACCGCCAGGAATCCTCTTATGAATACGTGTTTCGACAACTATTGCGGCCGCAATAGTTCAACTATTCGGGTTAGTCTTCGGGGTCAGTTACTGCTTTCAACGTTTTCCTGAGACTCGTATTACTGTACTTTATGTACACGTGCCTCTCAGGGTTCTGGTAGATCAATTGCGTATTATGTTGTCGCACATGATTGTAGATTCACCGTATGCTGTTTTCCAGGTTTCTGACGATTCTAGTTGTTGTTACTGTTACTCGTTATCTCTCTTTCCTCGTGTGTTAAGTGTAGCCCGGACGTATGCCGTACTACGGCATACATAACAATCACATTCCTACAGCAGCCGTAGGAATGTGATTGTTAGTTTAAAACTCAACCGAACCTGGGGTTCAACTGCAGTGGTAACAGGATTTGTCCGAGGATCAACTGGGAAGTAATCTCGATATGTTACGCACTCAGGTCGTCTGTGCCAATGGCCACTCAGAAGATATTGAGTTAAAAGCTTCATCCCAAGGCTGTCATGGACGCCATACTGCACTACGGTGGGCCGATCACGATAGCGACGACGATGGACCTGATTTAAAGCCCCGCATCGGTGTCGTGGCAATCCGTCCCGCTAGGAGGTCCTACCAGCGCTGGAGTGACGAGGAAAAGGCTCGGTTTGTGATGGCCGTGAGAAATTCCGGCGAGATATGGAGACAAATTCAATAAAATTACTTTCCTCATCGTACCGTCTGCAGGGTCTATGAGCGCGGGCGGTCAATGGTGAAGAGGGGAGATGTAGTGGAGTGTGCTAAACCAGTCTATCAACCTAAGAACAAATTTAACGTCGAATCCGGTCATTATGCAGCGTAGACCAATGCACGCCCCTCATTCCTAAATAATATCCACATGATCCAATGGGACAAAACACATTTCTACATGTTTTGCGTATCTAAACAAAGTCTATTCACCTATACTGTTATCGTTCATTTTCGACTCCCTAAAACGTTTCATGTCTGCTTTAGAATGAATATTAAATATTCCATTTCTTCAATTTCCTGCAATTGTATCATTCTCCTTATTGGAACAACATATTGATAGTATCAACTTGACATCCCCCACACACTCTACTAGAGTGTGTGACTCTAGTTACTAGAGTCTAGTACAGTGATCCTACTGATAACTGAGGCTCGCTGACCGACTCGGTCAGCGAGCCTCGAATCAGTTGCGTCTTACAGAATCAAAGTCTTCTAGCTCGGAGCTAGAAGACTTTGATAAGGGTCTCAAACATAGTCATGTTAAATAGTAAAGTCCAACAGCGTATGCGTGTCGCACGCTCCAGAAGAGCATCATCCAGTGTTACAACCGAGTCGAGAAATGCAGCGTCGTCAGTGAAGACGTTTCGCTTTTTCTGCTTACTCTTTCACAAACTTGTGAGATAGAACTCCACAAATATTTGTGCAATGGAAGCGCATATCCTCAAGTCAGAGATCCCGACGAGCCATCGTTGTAGCGACGCAAAGACGGTGAATATTAGTGTACGTTAGTTCTAATGTAGCCTTTCAGTTGAGTGCGTAACATGTGGGGGCTTGATTCAAGCCTTGATCATGTGGCGTCTTCTGAGATCTACAGCACTACTGCTAGGTACTACTGCTAAGGAACGTCCTACTAGGACGTTCCTGCTGCTGTGCTGCATCTCAGATG